AATAAGACACTAAGTACAATTCTAGACTCTAGATGGCTTTTATTGGAAAATTAGCTTTCTTTCCAGGCTTTGATACTGTCTTCCTCCTTTTACCAAAGCATCTGAGGCTCCAGGCTGTCCTGGAGCAGTTACCCAGGAGGGAAAGGGCTCTGACCCAGAGCTTGGGGAGAATCTCTCAGTGCATGCAGGGCACAGGGAGGGACTCCAGGCACCACAGGCACAGCTGACCAGCAGGTCACAGAGGGGCCAGGACTGGCAAAGGCTCACATGCAGGGATGTGGAAATATGAATTTTAGAAATAGCCTCTAGATACCTTTTAATTATTAAAAAAAAACCCCTTGTTGAATTGGGGTATTGAATTGCCTCTCCTTCCACCATGCCCTATCTAGTCTTAGGCTGTAAGAAGAAAGGGAATCCTTTTTCCCTGTGTGTTCAGTGAAGGCTTTCAGAGTCCCACATGAAAAGCTTGGCTCCCCTAACCCACTGCTGCCCCTTGGACTGTCTGAACAAGCTGCACCAGGTCTCAGCATCCTCGTGGCCCCTGATCCACTCCTAGCCAACTTCTGTCCTGCTGCCAGAATGAGGTGACACTACGTGCACAGGACTTGGTGGCTGAAGGGTGGCCAGGGAGGACATAAAGTATGAGAAAATTGGGGAGGGGATGCAGAGAAGAGAGAGACCTGAAAAGTGGGGCGAAAACCTGAAAATGAGTAGTGGTCCTAACCAGCTGATCTGTTCTGAGGTAACCAAAAACCAAATGGCAAATTAACTCCCTCCTTTTGTAGTTTATTTTGAAACCTCTGTGGCTTTGAATGTGATGTTTGTGAAGCAAAGACCAAGCCAGGGGGGATGCCAGACAGGGGGCTGAAGACTAACACACAAGAAAGAGGCACAGTTTAGGGTGTGCTTCTGCTTTCTTTACTTGAGCCCAGACCTGTGCCCACCCCACACTGTGGTGTTGATTTCCCAGCATCTCAGAGGCCAAATTTGCCCAGCCCTTTATGCATTACACTTAATATTTCTAATGAGCAGCCACCTGTAAAGGCCTGGAATCAGCCCACAGGTGCCAAATTCTGCCCAGCCCACTGGGCAGGGTTTGGCACTTGCCCTAGTGTTGGGTGTCTCTAACCTTGCACATCTACTTATCCAGCAAAGGCAGGGAGGAAAAGTGATGCTCTTTGGCTAAAAATGCCTTGTCAAGCCCTGACTCCCTTAGGAGACTATATCCAGAATAGCTTGGAGATTCATCTTCCACAGTTTAGTGCAAAAAGCACCTAAGGACCCCTTTGAGAAAGATAAAAATTCAGTTTAGAGACCCTGGATTTTCCAAAGAACCTCAAAGGGGCCTCCAGGTTTTTACACTATTCTTACAATTTTGTTAAAAATGGCAAGGACTCTTTGGTGTTAGGTGTCCTGAACAAAAACCAAAGATACCTTCTCTAAAGCTAGAGAGCTAGAAATCAGGAATTTAAATCTGTTTCTCAATCCCCTACCAGTAAATGGCCCAAATGTCCAGAAGTGCTGAGCAGTCGTGGCTCACATGGCAGAGCCAAGACAGTGCTATGTAGTCTGGCAGCAAAATGAAGTGAGCCACAAACCTGGAAGCCCAAATGACCCATTTTTTTTACAAACCATGGTTTCCTGACCTGGTTGTTCACGACTGCAAAAAAATTCATGTGCGCATCCAAAGCTTGCATCTTGAAAAAAAAAATCCAGGCTGGAAAATTCACCATGAGAATGTGAAGGGAGAAGGTTGAGGTTTCTCCTCCCCCCAGGATGACTAATGCAAAGATTTCAGGACACCGACAGAAAGAGCTAAGAAAAACAACAGTGAAGTGCCACAGCAGTCACATTGCACACAAGTGAGGCACAGCAGTATCCCACAGCCCTCCTTCAGAGGCTGGGAGGGAGCAGGTGGCAAATGAGCCAATGTTTTGGTGCTGTGAAACCTCTCAAGTGGAGCAACAGCCATCAGGCTCCAAGAATATCAGCAGCTTCCCTGCAGCACAGCAGAGAGTGAGGTCTCTTGCCTGCAGGCTGTTGAAGCACACACAACAGGTTTAAGATCCCTGAGATAAGTAAACCTGACAATGTCGTGTTTTGACTGGAAAGAAGCCTCCAGAATTAGAAGGAGAAGTGGTGAAAGGATGGATTTCCTTCTTCCACCTCCTCCCCATCCTGTAATCTGCGCAAATTTTGGGAGCCACGTGTAAATTTTCAGCATTGCAATGTGCTGTAAAATTAGAAGAAGCAAAAGCCTCAAGTACTTGAGAAATGGGACAAAGGCTGTTTTCAAATCAAACAAGGGAGAAATCACACTACAGCTTCTGAGAGGATCAAAGGAATACTTATGTCACCCTTATGATGTGCACTAAGAAGCCTTTTGGGAAGCCCTTGTGAGTCACTGCAATTGGCCATCTGGCTGCCATGATTAATGTTTTTTCCAGATATAGCCCTTACCAGGATTGGATGCTCTTTTATCTATGAGCACTGAAGTAAAACAAGCCTTTCCAGCCTTTCCTGACCACACAAAAGAACAAACTAGAATCATACACGTGCACTTGCTCAACTATCCTCAATACTCTCGGTACTCAGGGCCAGTTCAGCCTGACAAGTCCAGCTATAAGAGGCAGAGTCTCAGGAACCACAGAATCACAGACTCCTTGAGGCTGGGAGGCACCTCTGGAGGTCTTCTGCTCCAGCCACCCTTGCTCAAGCAGAATCACTCAGGGCCAGTTGCCCTGGACCATGTCCAGATGACTTTTGAATATTTCCAAGAAGGGAGACTCTACAACCCCTCTTGGCCACCTGGGCCAGTGCTCAGTCTGCCTCGTGGTAAAAAAGCTTCCTGATGCCCAGGACACTTCTGTCACCTGAACTAAGCACCAGGTAGCCAAAAAGTTGTCCCTGTACCCAAGACAGATAGGACATCCTGCCCTCAGGTTTCACTGAGACCTGTCAGCTGGAGGAGAGCAGCAAACTCTGGTTCCCTTCTAGGTTTGAGGGGGCTGTACTCCTTGGACAGGGATTTCTTGCAAACCATTAGACATAAGCTCCTCCCTGTGTTGTCCTGCTTTATCCCTTCTCTTTTTCTGTTTCCCTGTTCCAGGCCTTTTTTTTTCCTAACCAGCTAAAGTATCTCTCTCATCTCTGTTTCCCAGCAAGACAACCAGACCTCCCAGCTCTATTCCCACTCTCTCTCTGTGTTTCTGCTTTCACTGCCCTTCTTCAGTTTGCCTCCTTCCCCAGTCAGCCTTCCACTGATTCAGCTCCACGTTTAATCACCTGCTCCTATTCACCACCTTTGTGCTGCTTGATTCCTGCTCTGACAGCACAGTCCAATGCTCCAGAAGACAAGAGCTGTCAAAGATCCTGCTTTCTGGTCCTTTTTAGCATCCCCTGCCTCTGTGACAACCACAGCCTGACTGCACTTCCTCTGCACAAGAAATAGCACGAGTCAGGGAGGATAAATTAGGACCTCCCCAGAAATGCCCTGCCTGGCCGTAGGGCTGAGCTTTCTGCCAGACCTCAGCACCACTGGCAGAGCATGACAACATCCCAATAAAGGTAATAATTAATTAACAATCTTTCACACTCTGAACCTCTGGATTTGTGCAGCTTCCTGATCCCGTGAAGCCAGGATCTCGGCAATGCCCACACCATCTGTCTTCTGTCTGCAGAATTTATCCCTGTTTTCAGAGGCCAGCAAGGAAACTGGGTCTGTTTAGCATTCTCACCTAGTTACAGTCAGTACTGTCTGTGCTGCTACTGCAAATAAATATGTGCCTCTTGCCTAGACTTCAGGAAAGATGCTGTGTGCCAATTTTTTATTTTTTTAAAAAAGTATTCCATTGAAAAACATGATTACTTCAAATCTGGGGAATGTTTTATGGAGACTTCCGACTTCCTTAATTGGTAAATAATGCTACATGTGCCTTGTTTATTGTTTATTGTTTAGTGCTGTGTCTTTTGTTACAAGAAATGGCAACAATGGTTTAAATGCTTAATCCAGAGGGAAGTGGGAAGTTTCCATCCTCACACCTCAGTCTGATCTCCCTCTCTGTCATGTTTTTTATCATGTTTTTTCCTCTGTACTGCCTAACATGGTGGGAGTGTTCTCCCATTACAGGCTTTCCTGAAGAATAGGTCAGGCAGGAGTGCGGGAACCATGAGCCAGTGGAAAGGATTTGGGATGGAATGCCAGAGAACTGAGTCAGTCCATTCCTGCATCCCACTTCAAGTAAACCTCTTCTCTTGGCTGCCTCTCAGCTTCTACATATAAGCAAAATATGGATCACAGCCTTCTCTGCTCCTAGCCAGGTGCATGGAGCTGCAGGGATGAAAACTCTGTCTCCTGGCCAGTGACCCGTGACTGGGAACACTGCAGTCCTCTGCACTGAGAAATTCATGGAAATCTGGGGGAGAGATGAAAGCAGGAGCAGGAGGTCCCCAGAAATGAAAGCAGAAGCAGGAGGTCCCCAGAAGTTTGGAGGCAGCAGGGTGGGAGAGGATGAGAGAGCAAGGAAGGAAGGAGAATGGAGAGCACAGAGCAGAGGGGGAGTGGGACAAGCAGGAGAGAGATGAAAGCAGGAGCAGGAGGTCCCCAGAAGTTTGGAGGCAGCAGGGTGGGAGAGGATGAGAGAGAAAGGAAGGAAGGAGAATGGAGAGCAGAGGGGGAGTGGGACAAGCAGGGGACATGTCACATCCACAGGCACCAGAGACACTGTGGCCGTTCTTGTGAACGGGGTTAAAGGGAGGAATTAGCTGGGAGCAAGAACAACAGAGGTCAGGAGAGAAGGGAAGGAACGTCACTTGTTCACGCAGGAGCCAGTTCAGAACTGGTTTTGATTGTGAATTTTCTCATTCTTTATCCCATTTGGTTTTAAAAAAATCCCATCCTCATGATTTCCCCTGGGAAAGCAGTCAACAATACAGCAGCTGACGGAACATCTTTCCTGAGACTGAGACTAAACTTTCCTTTTGTGTATCCTCTGTCCCAGCCTTTGACTCCTGTTTGCTCGTGATGTGCCATGTGAAACACTCGCCTCTGCCTTAATACACTGAAATGCCAGCAGGCTGCTCCAGCCTCCCACTGCTCCCTGCTCCAGCCCCTCCTCTTCTAACAAAACGATGCTGATGTCACTTCTCATCCATCTCTTCTGCTCAGCCAGACAGGGAACCCAGGGACAGCAGTGCAAGAAGCCTCGCTGTGGTATTTCCATCACACACCTGTGCTAATAAACTGATGGCACCATCCCTGCCATGGTGCTTTCTAACCTGAGCTGTTGGCTGAATGCTCTTCCCTGTTTCCCTATTACAGGCAAAAATTGGCTTCTGTCTTCTACTACAAGCATGAATACCCAGCCTGTAGCCTAAAGACATGCTGTGGGAATGAAAAGGCAGCAGATGAAGGTGGTCTTGTGCTCAGAGTTTCTAACCTCCATCTACCTTGCACCGAGACAAAAATCTCCCCTCTAGCATGTTCTGGGGGTTAGTCTAGCAGTCATACTTCTGTGCCTGGTTTTAATCTTCCTTGACACTTCTGCAGCAATGCACATGCCCCAAAGACTTAACTTGTCCCAGCTGAGCTGTTTCAGAGCTCATGATGTGAAAACAGGATAAAAAACCTGCTGTCTCCCTTGACAGTGCAGGCTCGCTGCAGCCCCTGATGAAAACACGAACGGCACAAAAAGATACCCAGCCAAGTGACTAACTGCTTCAGCTGGGGACTAGCCAGAACTAGGAGCAAACATTTGGGCTGGAGACTAAAAAAATCTACGCTGTGAAGGATGTTACAGGCCATTGTCTGGGATACCGCCCCTGGTGTTCAGGAGAGATGAGGTAAGTAACTGAAACGGGTGAAAAAAAAAGTGAAAATAACGGTGTCCCAAGAAAGGTCCTAATCTGATTAATGTTGTGTTTGGCTCCTGAGTCCCTTCTTCTCTTTCAATGTGTCAGGTGATGGGTTAAGGGATGGGAACCTGATCCTGAGAGTTCCTTTTGGCAGAGGAAACCAGGGCGGGATTTTTAGTGAACATGTTCTGGGAGGTGTAAGGATTTTTGCTTCCCTGAGAAGAAACAGGAGAGAGAAGAGGGAGAGCTTGTGCCTGGTCAGCCCTCAGCAGATTCCTCTCCTCCTTCTGCTCCTGCACACTCTGCCACCCTCAGCGGGGAAGAGATAAAGAGAGCAGGAGAGAGACAGCTCATTTCCCAACACTTGTTTCATTCAAACAGCCTTATTTTTGGTAATGTTACACCAAAGCTGCAAACAGCTCAAGTGGCTGATGGTGCTAAAACTCTGTCCTGGGCACGTTCCCAGCTGGAAAGATATCACAGGACTCCAGCCCACCAGGGAGACAGCAACGTCGGCCCTACAGCACTGGAGCAGAGCGGTGCCTCACCCGCCCAGCAGCCTGTCCAGACAGTGACCAGGGCCAGGTGGAAGGGAGAAAACACCCCCACACCCCTTATTTGCACAGCAGCATGCACGGAGGGAAGCCCTGCCCTGTCAGACACGGTGCTGGGCATGAGGACAGAAGGCCCTTGGGACCCCACTCTGGCCAGCGCGGCCACCGGCGCAGCTGGGTGGCCAAAAGCAGACACACCCTGGCCCCAGGTGGGAGCAAAATTGCTGAAAAGGGGTCAACATTGAGCAGAGGTGTTCCAGTGACATTGGTGGTGCTCCTAGCTGGAGCCCTGAAGCATCTGGACAGGTTGCCCAGAGAAGCTGTGGCTGCCCCAACCCTGGAAGTGTCCAAGGCCAGGTTAAGGATAAGGCCTTGAGCAACCTGCGATAGTGGGAGGTGTCCCTGCACATTGCAGGGGGTTGTGGCTGGATGGTCTTCAAGGTCCCTTCCACCCCTTAACACTCTGATTCTATGAGTGTGTGATCTCTGAGGACCAGGTTGTTCTCCAATAACTTGGCAGACCTGGGGCTGTTTCCGTGGCAGGGATGCTACAGAAACTGGATTCTTCTGGCTGGCCAAAAATGAGAACTGCAGTGGGAGCTCCCTACCTTCCTATCAGCCTCAGGTGACCATCAGGATCTCTTCTGCCTGTCAGGGTTTGTAGGTTGTACAAGACAGCTCTTCACCATGTGCTTCTCTCCCTTTCTGCCCTTTTCTGCCCATCCTATCCACACCAGCTTTGAGGAATTCAGTTTCATTCCCAAGTCCCTCAAAGGCCTAATCATGGATTGTAGTACAGACTCCAAACTAGAGTGTCTCTTGGGTTAAGGCTGTCTCCTATGTTTATATGGCACATTTCACTCAATCTCGCACAGAAAACAGCCCTTTTGGTAGAAAATCAGTCTGTGGGAAATACCACATCCACTCTGCTAAAATATGGTCCCCTCTTAAGTGCAGACATAAAGACAACAGAGCAACAAACACTGACCAGAAACTTTGAACCCAGATCCCATGGGTTCTAAGAAATCATGCTTTTAATGTATGTAATAAACACCAACCCTTCCCTTTTGGGCATTGTGTTTAGCAAGTAGAAAAACCTGTAATTTCAGGACAACATCTACAATGAGAACATTTCTCAAAGTTTTAGATCAAAAGAGAAGTTGCTATAGGACACTGGCTGTGTGCACACCAAGTATCCTTTTCCCCTTATCACTCATTCAGAGCATTAGTGCTAGCCCAATTGCCCTATGCAGCATCCTAATCATAATTTAACTACAAATCTATTTAGCTCTTGAGGTTGTAGAAAATATATTTAAGGTAGTTTAGATTTGTGTGTGATTACACACACTGTGAACTCCTAATTATAATTTAACTACAAATCTATTTAGCTCTTGAGGTTGTAGAAAATATATTTAAGGTAGTTTAGATAGGCTCATTTGTGTGATTACACACACTGTGAATTTTGGCCAAGCACAGTTTGGTCTTACAAATCCAGGATCACAGCTGAACAGCGAGTGAAATTTACCCTCACCAACCCCAAACATCCCCTCACAGCTTTGGCACATTTGGTGTAAGGAAAAAAAAATTAATAAAATTATGTTTTCACAAGTTGTGTAAAAACTGGCAGCTGAATAAAGGAAATGCCCCCAAATTAAAGTGCCAGTATGCAGAAGGCAAACAGAGCTCAGTCATGTACTCTAATCCAGTGGCAAACAGCTGGTCAGGCAAGGCATGCACAGTTTTAGCCTTGATCTTGTGTATCACAGCTCTCTGGGCAAGAGGGTGGGCAAAGGGCTCAAATCCTTAATAACCAGGCTCATCACTTCTGACCCTTGTGGAACATTGGTGGCACTGGTGTCCATCTGAGAGAAAATGACTGAAACCCTCTGGCTTTCCTACCAGCTTTGGGAAAGTGGATAAAAAAGGGCCAGAAATAGTGTCAGATTAGGAGAAAAGAATGGTTGGAGTCAGACTGAACCTTTGATGATCATTTAGTCCAATCCCCCCTGGTATCTTCCATTAAACCAGGCCAATCCGAGCCCTGTCCAGCCTGGCCTTGAACCCTTCCAAGAATGGGACATCCCTGGCTTCTCTGGGAAAACATGAATGTTGTATTACAAACAAACAGAAGCTGTGGCCTTCCTCTCACTGCAGGACAAGCAAGGGACAGAGCCTGCCTGGAAGAAATTCCCTCCTGCCACCTGATGCTTTTTTCCAGCTGTCCAGCTTTAGTGAGATTCTTTGAATCTCCATAACGTTTAAAGTTGCAGATACCCCAAGAGCTTTCTTTACAAAATCAATTTATATTAATTTGGTGTTGCTGTATCTGCACAGCTCACTGTGAACATCACTCAGTAGTTTCAACCGTATTAGAATGAGTTAAGTTTTAGGTTACAATATTGAAAGGGAAGGTAAGAGTATTTTTGACAAAGAAACAAAAATGCAAGCTATAGCTGATGTCACCCCCCTGCTGCCCTTTTATCCTGGTCTCCTGAGGAGGTAAGGCCTGAGAGGTCTGGCAGTTGTCCCCAGATCCCTTTTGATCCCTTTTAAACTCATGGCTCAGAATCCGCCAGCTTTGAGGAGCAATGGGTCATACCAGTGCCCAGGCCTCCTTGGGTATTGTAGATATTCCTGATGCACATGCTCTGTCATCTGGCAATAGCTGGAAGGTTGCACACCCCTTTCCATCATGTACCCAGCAGAATACACCTGGACTATAGAGCAGATAGACTTCCTGCTGTCCAAAAAGAAGAAAAAGCAGGGAAAAAAAAAAGAAGAAAAGCAAAAGCTCAGCAGCACTGTGTTTCCATCTCCTGTTCACACCTTTGACGTCTCTGCACAGGGGTGAATGAAGACAGATGGAATTACAATAAATAGCTTAAGAACTCTTCTCCAGAAGTACCCTACCAATTTACACAATTTTTTTGTGTAGTCTTGCTGAGTGTCACTTGAGCAAAAGCTGACAGAAGGCAGGAGTGACTGAATTTTGCTGCTCAAGGACTGAGGGCCAAAGTTTGATTCACAGGTGGCACTGAGCAGCCCCAAGCACCCTCTTCAGACACTCACAGTCCCAGGGAAGCCCTGTGTCCATGGGCAGAAGAGAACTTTGCCTTTGTTTTCCTGGATCTCAGCTGTCCTGCCAGGGTGTGCAGGGCAGGTTCAAAGAGGGCTTTTTCCACCTCCCTCCCAAAGCAGAGGCTGTGCTTTTACATTTACCACCCCTCCTGCATTCTTCCTCTACCCCATACAGTGCAAGCTTTCCCTGCTTTAGCACCTCTATTACATCTACAGAAGTATTTTTGATATTTATAGCTACAACCTTCCTCTTTGTTTTATACCTATGCTTTCTTTTTCAGTATTTGTTCGGGGATATGTCAACAGACAAAAGGCCAAGTAACTGCACCATCCCCAAAATGGGGTATACTTGCTCAGAAATATACTTAGCTATGTTTTCTATAGGCTAACTAAACCACACACCCTTCAGAAGGCAAAAGTAGCTTTGTTTCAATAGGTGAAGGACATTGCAGATATGAAAACTAATGGGGAATCTCTGTCTGGGGTGGGTGGGGGGAGGAGAAAGTTCTACTTCCTCAGCATCTTAGAGGTTTTAGACTGAGTTTTAAATGCAGGAGGATAAATGGAGTGTGAAAGATTGCCTAGCCCCTAATTTCTCCTGTGTTTATATCTGGGTTTTATGTCCTAGTCAATACTCTTAAGCCTATTTGAAAATTAATCTCCAGTGAACAGGTGAATAGATAATGGAGTGGTGATTCCTCTGTCTCCATTTATCTTTTCACTTATAGAGTTAATTGAAAATAGGAACTCACTCAGTACCATTTTTCAAG